CGTTTCAGATGCTGTTGCGGTTAGCTTTACTGACGTCTTTCTGTTTTTGTGTTGCCAGGGCTGTGCTAAACGGAAACGACGTCAAACGACGTGAAGCTGGCTTAGACCTATACGGCTCACCACCTGGGCCAACACCACATTTTAGTCATACTCTCCATCAAATACCACACCGTGAGTATGGTGTTCCCCAGCAGATTCCCTTTAAAGATTACAGCTTGCCGGTATTGAAATATGGCCCTCCAAAGCTGAACAATTTTGGCGGTGGTTCTGGGATATCCACGAATGGATTGCATGAGCAAATCAAGACACACTTTGGCGTTCATAAGCCATTCTATGGACCACCGTATGCACAGTATAGACCCACAACAGAATATGGTACACCACAAACAGCACCACATTACGGCTCACCACCAAAATCATTTCCACAGCTTTTGAAAATTCAACACCGTCCGGCACCACAGTATGCAGCACCTCCAAAACATAAATTTTTTACACGGCCTGTATCCCAACAGTTATTGCCGGTATCACATTCTGCCCAACTGTTTAACCCTGTTCATCACCCAGCAACTTCTTATGGTCCACCCGCCTCGGGACCATCAAACCTCCCAGCTAAGCCAGCTTACGAAACACCACCAAACTACGGACCACCACCACTTCCCATTAACGTACCAGGTCCTCAATCAACAGATTTCAGCCATGCTCCAGCAACGACTATTATATTAAATAATTCAGGTGTACAGCAACTCTCTAGTGGCCCAGTTGATAGCCCTTTTAAGCAAGTTCAGATCCAAATAGATGCCTCTGGACACACACACAGTGTGACTGGCTCGCAAACACCTTTTCACACTGCATGCGATGGCTGGAAACCTATTCCAGCACCGATTGGGACCTACATTGAAAAGAATCACATTGTAGCTCAAAGGGGTTACAGTCATGTCGATCAGGGCCATATAATTGGCTCACGATATAATTTTGGTAGAGCCAACAGTGCCAAAACTGTCAACGGCCTTTCTGACGAGCAGCTTGTAGCAGTCGCACTTCAGGGTGAGTCCGGTAATATAGTAACTGGTCCTACTATCGACGGTAATCTGAGCACCGTTGACTCTGAAGCGTTACAGGTGGGTTGCAATATAGTTTCAGGTAACATCTCTCTGACATGCTTCTCTATTATTTTATGATTAGGTTTTCGCCGACGCAAATGATACTTACTCCAAGCCTCCAGCAGATTCATATCAGCCTGGCTCTATTTATGATACGAAACATAAAACTGTTGCAGGGGAAAGTCTGCCACTACCACATATATTTGGTCCTGCGTATGGCGTTTCTCAGTCTCGAGCCCAGTCACATTCCCATTACAATTCAAACATCCTTTATGGTACACATTCAGGTAATCCAAAGTTTAATCGCGAACATCCTAAGTCACCAGTCGCATTCCGCCCACCTGTGCCGACGGGGCTTATAGAGTCTATAGGGGCTACTGTGCAACATTTGGATGAATTTGGTGTAAAGCCACCGCCGCAAGCACCTGCATATATTCCCCCTGCAACTCACGAAATTCCATTAAATAGTGCAGCTTCTGCATCACTACCCGCATACGGCGCGCCCTTTAATCGGCTGGCATCATCACAGGTTATTATGAAACAGCAGCTTCCGCAACCGTATCAAGGACCCATTTTTACTCCACTTGATGTACAATCGCTACCAAGCCTTCATTATATTCCCGCACCGCAGCAACAGCGGGCACCGGAGCAATATTTTTCAAATAGACCCTCCCCAAATATCCACCTTTCGAGTCAGCAACCAATAAGCAATAATGTGATTCCCCAGAACATGCCATCAGTTTTCTATTCTCAGGCACTACCATTAATCCAGCAACTTGATCGATTTAACCAACAAACATCAGTATCAGTGGGACGGCATCCTTACCAGCACCATCAGACACAAATTGTGTTACACGATTGCGGCCAAGGTCCCAATTTGATCAGCAGCTCTGGGTACCAAGTGCATCAGCAGCAACAATTTGGGAGCGTCTCGACAGAATCTCCTAGAGTATACAATGCCATAGCGCAGAGTGTTCCTGTAGCGGAACAGCATACACAATTTTTAGCTGGCGCTGCTGACAGTTATGGCCCACCGTCTTCTGGAAATGAAATTGAGCTTGATCATTTCGGGTATGAGTCACAAAAGTCCACAGTCACAGCACTGCCGGATGGTACAGATCTGCAGCAGCTACCAGGTTTAAATGACTTGAATGTAATATCTGCACAAAAGTCTCAAGACATTATGTTTGGCGCAAGTAATGGACAGCTACTTCAAAACTTTCAAATACAATTTGGTAGTTCAGTAAATAATGCTGGTACCAATCAAGGAAATGATGGTAACATTGATGATCCAAGTGCAATGCACGTAGACATTCTGTCACAAGGTCTACTTCAATCAATATTGACTGCAATAGAAAAGCCCCAATCAGCGTCGTCTGTGCCACAGAGCCATAATGCACAAAGTCGTTCTGACGACCAATATCAAGAGAATGAAAAGAAACGCGATATAGGACATAACGATCAGCAAACAAATCAGCATCATAACACACCTGAAAGTGTCGAATTACACATTGTGTCCGATACAGATATTAAGAACACAAAAGATAACGAGATTGAGCCCATTGTAGCTGCCGACGTGGATGAAAGGTCCAAGCATTAAGTCAAGTAATTACATAAGTATTTATCGCTTGAAATCCATACTTGTTTACATACATATGTATGTAGATATGTATGCATGTAAATGTAGCCAACTTAAATCATTTGTATATTTCTTTTTCCTTTTACTTTCTCCGTAAAATTCACTAGGGAAAATATAGCCATAATATAAAATAATTAATATAATGACATTTACTTTCGAAATAAGCCATTCAATTTTATAGTGATATACATGTACGTACGATAATATATGTATATTCTGTATAAAAATAAATGAAATAAATTATTTATTTAATATCATAATTACTTGTGTACTTGTATGATTACATTTTGTGATCTACATGATTAAATCTTTGTCCACTAAATTTTTCTTTCGCAGCTGAAGGCCAATTGCTGTTTGATCAAGGTCTGGATCATATTTATGCTATTTTAAAGATGTTATGTTTCAAAAATCCTCGTTATGTATAAGTACGGTAAACCCATTAAACATCGAAAATCAGGGCATTATGGTTTTGTTAAATTGCAGCATGTTCAATATATTGAATAAATAGTGTAATACTTTGTTGCAAGTGTTAGCAATAAATTAGAACAGCTAGCACTCGTCAAATGCATGTGTAATCTGAATGAATCACTAATCACTTGGCACACATACATTCAAAGTTCTTTAGTTTAGTTTAATATTGCTAGATGGCGCTGCAGCAGTGAATCTACTTCAGTTTTGCCACCGCAACTTCGAAGAGTGAGGTGGCGTTGTGACTAGCGGCGTTACGCTTGATCGAGAGGTTTCGGTCTCGAATCCAGATCGCGCAATTGATGTTGATTTTTTTAATTGTTTCAAAATATATATTTAATTAAATGAGTTTTCTATTTCATTTATATTTTTAAATACATCGAAATTGAAATTTTAACCATACATTTTCAGTCCTTCGCTACATGTATGGGCATTTGTGTTCCTGTGTGCGCAACTCTATTCTTCTACCTGCAGAAGGGTATGTGGTGATACGCATGAAGAATATCTTTTTACTTACATGCAAATATATTTTTGTGCTTGTGGGCACAACTTGACTCTTGCTGCCTGTGGAAGGCAAATATTGGCGTGTTCTCTGGTTAGTGGTTTTATCTACTGATATGTATGAACGTACATATATACTCATTGAATATCCTATGCCTTCTTTCAATGGTACCTAAAGTCTGGTGGTGGTGTGCATCAGATAGGGTGGCCATCCGTCCTGGAATTCCGGAATTCCCGCTTTAGGACGTAATATCCCAGTGTCCCGACCTGACACGAAATTGTCCCGGTTTTCTGCTACTTCCACAAAAAATTCCACATTTTGACCAACTGCGACTCAAAATGCAAACTTGAAAAAGTTTTTGTCGAGACAAGTGAAGAATTTTTTTGTGAGAAAAGCATCGTAGATAAAGTTGTACAATTTTTCGCAACAAACGCACACTTGTGCTCGAAAGAATTAAAGATAGCTCATTCCCTGTATGCGATTCCTGAGCACAATGCAAATTGCGAAAGGGGGTTTTCCTTATTAAATACGCAATGGTCAGACGAAAGAAATAAGTTACTGTTGGAGAATGTTAAAAACATACTTATTGTTCAATATAATTGAATATAACAACAATGAAATATTTTAAAAGAGTCCGCAATGTCCGCAATGAACATTTTCATTGCACTGTACCTTAGAATACAATTTTCGAATATTGCTTTGGCAGAAGTAGTTGGGCTTTTATTCGAAATTTTAGATATTAGGATCGTCATGGTGTGTAAACAGTATCGCTTCTCGATCGTTATCATTATTTATTAGGATCGCCGGCTTGAGTAGCGCTGCTCTTAACTTCTTTAATAATGGATTGCTCGTATTTTTAATAGAGTGTATTGAAACTATTTCTCGCAGGGTTCCACATTCAGTTTGCCGATTTTCAATTTGCCTTTGGAGAAATTTACCTTAATCAAATGTTTTTGCTATAATTTTTCTTCAATGTTTAAAATAACAAGTATTATATGCAAGGCCACTATTACTCGAATTTCGTCAAATTATTTTAGGCTTAGAAGCGTGTAATCCCTATACCGCTTATCGATAAATAGATTTTTTTTTTTTTTTTCAGCCTTATTTGAATACTACTAGATCTGGAGAGTTCAGATTTACTGTGTACATATACATATACATTTGATGAATACGAAGATTTTGTAATTTACAGATTTTTTATACTTATGCTTCGGAATATACATATGTATATTTCAATATTATGATCACGCTCTGAAAGTTTCATTATGATAGTCCTACTACAAAAGTTATTCAACAAATAAATTCTCATAATATTGCCCACACTGCAGCGCAGTTAGCAAAGCCCGTGCGAGTGTATGTATGTATTTGCATTGCCGACGACGTGAGGGGTATTGCATTTGTCGACGCCTAGGCGAATTGGGCGCTCACGAGGTCGAGCGGCTCAAGCGACAATTAAGTCGAGATAGTTATTTGGAGAGCGTCGTGCAAATCGGACGTGATTAGATAGTTAGTTAGAGCGCGTCGTGCGCATCGGAAGCGAGGAGGTTGAGAGAGCGTCGTTCGGAGCAGTAAGTGCGTCTGCTGAAGCGAAGAAATGTAGAAACAATTAAAAAGCAGAACACGGTTAGTTAATAAGTGACAGTGAAAAATAAACATGGGCATTGAAGCGCCGAATATGTTGTGAGTAATCGCGCCCACTCCCTCCCCTGTGTCTAACAATTATAAATTTTCTTGTGAGAGTACCCTGGGCAGACTAAGTCTTTACCAGCTGAAAATTACTTCATTACAAGGGTTCAGGGTAGTCGGGCAGTCTCGACTAGAGCTTTCTTTCTTGTTAATAATTTAAGTCCTATCCTGTTGAGAATCTTAGGCGCTTTCTACGACAAGCGTCCTCATTCTGTGGTAGTATTCTAAAACTCCGCGACCTTACGGGTGTGTTGGTGGGTTGGATACCATGCATATACATGATAGGGCCTTTTCCAAGAGATTGAATAATAGTTATATAATATCATACATATGTATATTATTTGTGGCTTTAGAATTGTCCATCTTCCTTTTTTTAGCTTAATGATCCTGTTATATGCAAAAATAACGCATTTTTGTCTGTACTTATAGAATAAACAATGAATGTTTGCACATATACAGAAAATCGCGCTGATCTGCTGCTAACTTGGAGCCGGTATCCAAAATATAACAAAAATCAAAATGGTACAAATTATACGCGTAATTTGACGATCCTAGCTCAATGATATCTTAATTTTAATGGGATTATGAACTAGGGATGCAAAACTATCGATAGTGAGGCCATCGATTTTTTATATCCGATAGTGAAAACCATCGATACTATCGAAAACTTAAAATAATTACAATTTACTCGAGTTTTTCTTAAAGTCTGCATTTATAGAACGGTACTAAAAATGTTTCTGACTTCATTTACAGCTATTATTTATAACTGTTGTATATTTATATAAAACGAAAACAAAAAACAATATTTGAAGCAAGTTAAAAATAGATTCATTCATAATTTTCACAGCAGTAATAGGTAAATATGTAATGGAATATAATATAAGATTAAAAATAAATAAAAACAATATTCAAACATAAAAGTATTTAAACAACCTTAAACGAAAATCTTCAACAAATATAATATTAATACATACACATATGTATGTAAATATATATGCTTACTCAAAGGCCAATCAACGGTAAATTTTGGGCATTACAATTTGCTCAGGCAGCAAGAGTTACGCACGCAGGCCACAAATGCTCACACATGTTTCCAGAGACTGCAAGTGTGTGTGTTCTTGCCCGTCGCGAAATCATATTCTTTATGCGTATCAACGCTTTCATACCCTTCCCACGAATATNAACACAGCTATGAAAAGAGCAATTCTCCATGATTTGCATGCTTAGAAATTTAAACCAACCAAAACTGTGCAATGGAACGCGTTTGGTGATAAGAAAACTGATGAGCAATGTGATTCACGCGTTGATACTCAAAGGAAAATTTAAAGATGAGGAAGTTCTTATTCCTAGGATTCCGATGAGCTCAACAGATATGCCCTTTGAATTTAAACGAATTCAATTCCCGCTTCGTCTTGCCTTCGCCATGACGATCAACAAGTCACAGGGCCAATCTTTGACTATTTGTGGCCTCAATCTAGAAAATGCGTGTTTTTCTCATGGTCAATTGTACGTGGCATGCTCACGTGTTGGCAAACGATCCGCATTATTTGTTCTTGCACCCGACCAAAAAACGAAGAATGTCGTTTACAACAAGGTGCTTGAATGAAAATCCGATTAATAAATTTATCAGTGTATCCCAGCCTGAACAACATAGCTTTCAACAATTTTTTACCTAGAAATAATATAGAGGGCAATGCAACGTTTGCCGGGCCAGCTAGTACTTTATAAAACTATAACATTTTTATAACATTCACTTTCGGGAATGAGTATAAAAACACTATGCAAATAAATAAGAAGGCTCCAGTCGAGACTGCTCGACTAGGCGATACCCTGAATCCTCTAAGCTGATATTCTACTCAATCTGCACTTCCTTTATAGACACATGCATAGACACGCATGTGGATGCTTGTGGAGCACGTATGATCTCGCGCTCTGCTGACTCCGCAGTTAGCAGCGACAGTGCTTGGGCTGAACTGCGGTGTAGGCAATATTATGAGAATTTATTAGTTGATTAATTTCTTTTGTAGACGGACTTTCCTAAGCTCCTGGGCGAAGGGCGGGTGGTATCAAAAATCTGTAAATTACAAAATCGTTGTATTCATCAAATGTATATGCACAGTAAATCTGAATTCTTCAGGTCTAAAAGTGTTCAAATAGGGCTGAAAAAACAAAATCAATTTTTCGATTATTCTCGACAAAAAAGTTATCGGATGAGAAAATAAGATAAACTTTTACTGCGTATAGTACACCCGAGTACACATGCCAAATTTTAGCTCTCTAGTTTTATATCTTCTGAGATCGGCTTGCTCATACGGACGGACAGGGTTATATCGACTCAGCTCGTCGTCCTGAT